AACATCACGAAAATATCTTGCATTTGCAGAATATACGCTGAAGGCATAAAATTCAAAGTTTACTAACAGAGTTCCGCTTTTATACCATTGAATGAGGCATTATTAGAGTAAAATATATTATAATACGGATATAAAAATTTCTTTTTTTTTTGTGCGAGAATTTTCGGACTGAATTCCTATCTGCTATGTAACTCCAGCTGTCAACAGCAAGTAGCGTGCATTCAATTTTTAATTCTGGAAAAAGATTAGCGAACTTTAGGGTTAGGTTACTATCAAATTGTAGTGTATACACAGAGATCCGAATAGTTTTCGATCGTTCGAAACTCTACGAAAGCGAGTATTGCATATTCGAATATTCAAATTTAGGAAATGCACTTCTGTTATCTGAATATTCGAATAATCGATTATGCGCAGTCATTCGATGATTCGAAGTCGAATATTCAGGGCTTTCACTATTTGAATTAATCGTGTTCAAAATATTTTAAATAATGGTTCGATTAATATTTATTCGTTCGGATATTTACAAGCCAGTATTCAACATTCTTTTATTGGATAGTTTTCGGATGAATTATACTATCTAGCGCTTCTCATAATTCATAATGACTAGATTACCATACTCTACGATTTTTACCCCTGAAAAAAGACTTTCAAAACACAATTTAATCAAGAACTCTTTATTTCTCCAACATTAAAATGATTTACATTTATCTTTAAACAGTGAGATCTGGTAAGGGCATGTAGCGTGCATCAAGGGATAGTTTCCTCAGTTCTTCTATAGTCTTCCCATCAGTGCATAGAGGATGTCGCAGGTTGTACTGAAATAATTTAAAGCTGGAAGTGGGCTATTGCCACCAATTTTAGGGCTAAGGACAGCTTTTGTTGAATTTCAGAAGAAATAAAAACACTTGATTGAGCTGAAAGATGTAATACTGCATATTTTGTTTTTTTTTTCTAATATCATATAAAGAGATTCCTTTTCAAGACTCACCTCATGCTGTAATTCTGTCCAACTCGCTTTGCTACTGATCTTTGCGCGCATTTTTCTCACCACCTTTACAGGCTAGAAATATAAAACTGTCTTTTAAATTTATTGTACATTTTAGCTAAAATTTGATAAGGCTCCACCTTCAATTGTCTTCGATACACAGGTTCTCGATCAAAGTATGTCCAGGCTGCATCAATCCATCTTCGGTCTTCAGGTCGAAGACGTACAAATTCAGCTGAATTTGTTTAAATTCTTGAAAGGAAGCTTATCTTGAGGGTTGGAAGTAAAATAGTGCTGGGAGAGTCTGATTACGTGTGTAAGAACTGTAGCGCAGCCGCGACGCTTAACGCGAACGCATGGCTGTTACGTGACCGCAAGTGTGTCAGTTGTTTTTGAATAGACGGTAAGGATTTATCATGTTTTCATGATAAGGACAAGATATTCCAAAAGAATATAATTTTTAGATATTGCATGAGACTAATCTAGAAAAATCAATTTCCAACTTTTTAGTGAGATATCCTGCTGATTTGTAATTTTTCAAAATTTTGAACGCATTTACCTAATTTTTGTCTATCCGTTTCTTCAATCAGGGTGGTCAGACCAAATGAAGTATCAGATGAGTGTGGAGATCGCGGTGAGATCTCACTC